ATAAGTTTTGTGTAATGTTCATTTGATTGTTTCCCCCACAAGAAGTTTATGATCCATAAGGGCAAGGAGTATTTATTGTGTTTTGGTTTGGGGATATACGGAGGTCTTCTATCCTGATTCCTTCCGTGACTCAGAGGCCAGGTCCTCCTACTTCCCAACCTCCAAACCCCCCAGGACCCAACTCTCAAGGTACTCCCCCTACCCAGGACCCAGGGGGTCCCAGGAAGCCAGCCTTCCCTTTGAAGAACAAAGAGGAAGGAGCCGAGCCTTGGAACCCAGGCCTGGGGGAGACATCACAGCAGGGGAGGGGAAGCTCAGACAACAGGATCAGCCCATCAGCCTGGAGCTGTCTAAACTCTTTCCCTGCCCCCTGCCTCCCTAGGGGCCCAGCTCTTTTGGACAGGAGCTCCCGTTTCCCAAGCCCAGACATGGCCCAGCGCTGAAGAGGCTGGAGACCCAGACACACACCATGTACACAGACACGAACACAAACAGACACATATACAGGCCCACGCTGACACAGAGGTGTGCCAAACACAGAAACACCCTATCCTATAACCCCAGAAACCCTGGGAACGGGGTGGGAGAATGTCCTCAGAGCCACATCTGCACAGGAATAGTGGCTGGAGAAAAATCCCCCAGTCCCAACAATTGATCTCAGGTTTGGGGAGTCTGAAGTGTGCGTGTGCGTGTGTGTAGGGGTTTATTTATTTATTAGTTTCTCCATGACTATTTATCTCCTTTATACTCCGCACCGCGATCACCGCACTGTTGTCGATGTTGATGCCCATGAGTCTTTTTTCTTTTTGCTGGATCCCTCCACCACCTAGATAGGACCGCCCTCCCAGCTGTCAGCCTGCCTGCTCTCTTTGAGTCTGTCTCTATTTTGCTTGTTAATTCAGTTTGTGTATTTTTTTTTGGAGCAGAGAGGGCTTTTTAGAAAAATAATACAAAATTAAGTACAAAAAGTAGTATTTAGAGGGAAATAAGAGACCATAACTTACAAATTGAAAAAGCTTACAAACGTCACAGAGCCCAGAAAAATAACATATTTGTATTATCTGCCTGAACACCTCTATTACACTTTCCACAGACTAGCTACTGGCTCTACACATTTCGAATCTTGTTTCCCCTCTACTACCCACTCTTGTCACCGGGCACATTCATACCACACGTGCCCTCTGGCATTGCACCTTCACAGCACAAAGCCTGGTAAGTGGGCACAGGGGATAGGAGTATTCCTGGAAGCCGTTCTTACACCAGGGTGGCGAGGCTAACTTAACTGTATGTGGAGTGACTGGGAACCGTGTTAACATATTCCACAAAAATATCAATCTTATTTCTTTCCAACTCACCTGCCCCCTAACCGTATCCCCCAAAATGTCCACAGCCACTCCAACATAGGTGGAAAGTGGAAAGCAAAGTGGAAAGTGACAGTGGTCTTTACCATGTATAGTTAAAAATATCTTTAATTTGCAAATTTTACAGAAGCATATAGCCATGTGAAGATGTTGCTAGGGCCCTCCCAGAGGCCTGTGTAAATGAGGGGTCCTGAAGCATAAACTTCTTTGGTTTTATTTTTTAAGATTTTACTTATTTATTTTTAGAGAGAGGGGAAGGGAAGGAGAAAGGCAGAGAGACATCAATGTGTGGTTGCCTCTCGCACGCCCCCTACTGGGGACCTGGACCACAACCCAGGCTTGTGCCCTGACTGGAAACCCAACCGGTGACCTTTTGGTTTGCAGGCTGGTGCTCCATTCACTGAGCCACACCAGCCAGGGAGCACAAACCTCTTCACCTTCGTGGTGAGTTGGCCTCTGAAACTTAAAATGTTTGATACCACATCTCAGATGGACTCTCAGCCTGCCTGGAAACCTTATTCTCCTAGTTTAGAAGGCTTGTTTTCCTATTCTCTTAAGGGAACATTTCACACCTTTCTCCTCAAAGGACATGTATGTAGCTCTCTTCCCTCCAGAAATGAGCTTGATTCATTCTTTGAGAAAATTAGAGCAACTAGAGGTAACCTGCCTCGTCCTTCCCCTCACTCCAACTGGCTCAGTCAAGCCCTCTGTCTCACCTCCCCATCTACTAGCTGAGGCTGATTCCTCTATCTGGCCTAGGAGCATACCGACCTCACCTCTGCCCTCCCCCACACCACAGATTTTGGTTATTCCCATCAGCCTCAAACCCTTTCTAGCAACCCTCATCTCTGCTACACCTACCTGCCACACACTGTTCTGTTCGCCGTTCACAGAAAACTGTTTATGGAGTTGGCTATACCCACTGTCTGAATGCCTTCACTTCCCATTCTTACCTCAACCAGCTCAGTGGGCTGCACAGTTACCCTCCCCCCAGGTCATCTGTGACTTCCAAGATGCTAAACTGGATGGTTGCTTTTCTCTCTTTTTTCTTGACCTCCCAACAGCTTAGCTAGAGCTCATTGCTCCCTCTTTCATATGTTTTCTTTTCTTGGTTTCCTGGACACTCCACTCACCTGGCTTTTCAGCTATCTCTCTGATCACTCTGGATTCCTTTGACAATTCTCCCTCGTCAACTTGACCTCAAGTGTTAGGATGCCTCAGGGCTCCTTGCTCAATCTCTTCTCTTCTCTCAGTCCATGTTCTATTCTTTCCCTCGGTACTCCAACAATCTCACCACATTAAAAGACATGTCTTCCAATGACTTCCCTGTATTTACCCTCCAGCTCTGACCCTCTAACTTGTATATCCCCGGACTCCCTGGAACCTCCACTTGGATGTCTAAGGGGATCTCAACTAACCTGACTAAAGTATAATGCTTATTTTCTCTCCCCAAACCTTTTCTGTCCCCTCCTCCTTCCCATTTCAATAAAAAAAGCCACCACCAATCTTCTTGTTGCTGAAGCCCAAAACCTAGGTGTCCACTTTCTTTCTCCACTGCCACCACCTCTGTCAAGCCACAATCACGTCTACCCCGATGACTGCTCTGGCAGCCCAGATGATATGCCTGCTTCCATCCTCAACACAGCAGCCAAAGTGGTCTTTTAAAATATAGGTCATGCCCTGGCTGGTATAGCTCAGTGGATTGAGTGTGGGCTGCAAACCAAAGGATCATGGTTTAATTCCCCATCGGGACATATCTGGGTTGTGGGCCAGGTCCCCAGTAGGGGGTGCTCCAGAGGCAACCACACACTGATGTTTCTCTCCTTCTCTTTCTCCTCCCCTTTCCCTCTATAAAAATAAATAAATAAAATCTTTTTAAAAAGTAGGTCAGTAAATATAACATTCCTATTAATACTCTCCACTGGTTTCCCATGGTGCTTAGACCAAACCCAAACTCCTGGAGCTTCCAGGGCCCTGTGTGATGGGCTATGCCTTCAGTTTTTATCTTTACATGCTCTAAATTCTCTATCCCAGGGACACTGGCCCCCTTTCTTTAGCTCCCACCAGCAAACTCTGTTCCTGCCTCACAGCCTTTGCACTTGTTCCTTTTGCCTCATGGCTGGCTTAGCTAGGCTCAAATATCACCTCCTGATAGAGGCTGCCTCTGAACATGAATAAAGTAGCACTTACTTCCCTCTGAAGTCATTGCCATATCCGATTGTTTCTCGCTCCGCCCCAGCTTTATACCATCTGAACTTACATTATTTTCTGCTTTCTCAATTATGTCTGTCTTCCTGCCCACTATAATGTAAGCTTCAGGGTAGCCCGGACCCAATGTACCCTGAAAGCCTAACCATACTGAACACACGGGAGGCACTCCATAAATAATAACAGCGACTGTGCGCAAGATATACAGATGCCCAGACTGTTCTACAATTTCCTTCTGGGGGCCACTGTCCCGCCTTAGAATTGAGAAGACAGTATTCCCAGTCACTGACACAATCCAGAGAGACAAGAGGACCCAGACTCCGGCCCAGGTGAAACAGGCTGAAAGAAACAGGAAACAGAAACCAGAAGCAGAGACACAGACCCAGAGCGAGTTCCAGAGTGACCAAGAGAGACAAGGCGAGGCCCGGGCTCAGAGCCTCAGAGACCAGCCAGAGACAAGCATAGAAGGAGGGGCGCGGCGGGAGGCCGAACGCGCCGGAAGACAGAGGAAAACCTGCGGCGCCGGGAGCCAAGCCTCCCCCGCCCCCCCTTACGAGTGGCCGCTGCATCTGGCGAGCGTGCCCCGCCGCCCGCCGGCCGACGCGTGCGGGATCAAAGCTGCCGGGAAGGGGCGGGCGAGGAGGTGGCAGGAACCTGGAGGTGTGAGCGAGCTTCCCCGGGGATGGCCGGAGCGTGGGAGCGCAGAGCGCCGGCCGGCGGCGGAGACCCCGAGAGCCGGCGAGAGATCCCGGAGAGCCGGGGGCACCCGGACACCGAGACGCAGACGCAGGGAGAGGTGGAGAGGCTGCAGACCCCCGGAGCCAGAGAAGCAGAGACAAGAAAGAACCAGAGAGATGAGCGCAGAAATTGCGGAGACCAGGAAAGAATGTGAAGTATAGAGACAGAGACGCCAAGAAGTACTCAGCACAGAAAAACTGCGACAAAAAAAACTGGACTCCGAAAAAGAAAGGGCGCTTTAGAGAGAGCGAGAGGTAAGACACAGAGAGAGCGAGGCGGAGAAGTGGAAAGAAGAACCAGGCAATCAGAGCGCGTGGGGCGGGAAGACCTCGCCCCGCCCCTCGGAGGACCCGGAGGACCCCCGGGGTAGGGAGCCGAGCGCAGTGTCTTTTCTCAGGGTCGCGCCTGCAGAGGTGCGGGCACCGGGGCGGAGGAAGGGGTGGAAAAGGCAGCAGGACCCCTTGGTTGGGAAGAAGGGCGTATGAGTCAGTAAACCCTGCGATAAAGTTAAAAATTAATATTTGGTTGATCTATTAAACAAAGATGCTGCTCAGACACAATATTAGATTTCTTTCCTTTTGGAAGGAGAAAAAGAAAACTGTTAGCTGCATTGGCCGGGAATCGAACCCGGGCCTCCCGCGTGGCAGGCGAGAATTCTACCACTGAACCACCAATGCACAGGGGGAAATTGCCTCTCTCCCAAAACTTACAAGAGTTCAAATAGCGGTGGTCGGGTGGCTTGTATGAACTGGGGACTCAGTGAAAGAGACTGAATCGTTCACCAGGGTGGAGCGAACAGGCCATTCTTCCTCTCGCCGGAATCCGGCCACGGGTCATAAAATCGCCCCATATGGCCAGGGGCGGCCCCACACCCGGGTGCGAACAGCCCGGGGCCCCCAAATCTCGCGTGCAGGTGAGAAAAACTCAGCCTGAGTCCAGGTTCCCAAGGAGGGGGGCAGCGGGGGCTGCCGGGGTCACACATCTGCGCTCCCATTTGGCCCAGGTAGGGGGAGGTGGAATTACCGGGGGCCCTGAACCCAAATGGGAGCGCCCACCGCCAGGTCTGTCCCTTGGGGCTCGGGCTTTGGCATGGCAGGCTCCGTGCAAAAACAATGAAGTGTGGAGGGGCATGAGAGGGCTAGGCGGAGTCCCATCCGTTTCCGACTCTGCAGCTGTCTTCCGACTCGGCCTCCAACCTTGTCTTTACGTCTCCTTGGCCCTAGCACTTCTGCTGTCCCGTTAAATCTCCGATTTTATCTTCGCAGGCATTTTGTTCCGAAGTTTCCGAGTGTTCACGCATCATTTTGTAGAGCGTCATGGTCTAGGTGTGAGGTCGGTGTTGATCCATTTTTTCTATCCCTTTCTTGTCCCTTCAATAAAACTACCTGCTGCCCTGCGGTCCCGAGGGGATTCTTGGGAACAAGCAAAGCGAGCACACTTGTGTCAGGTGTTCTGGCAGCCATATGCGTAACTGTCCTATAACTTTGAACCAAATAATTTGTAAATGGAAAGATCTCTCCACCTATCTGTACTTCAAACCTTCGCTCCCTCTTCCTTGGGGTTCCCCCCGCCCCAGTCCAGATCTCCCTCAGGATGATTCTTTCCCCCATCATCTACTTTACTCCGATTTTATAATAGATACTTGATAACATACCCCCCCAACTCTTTCTAGTGCATATCTCAGTGAGTGCGGTTGACCATCGTTCGTTCCTCCGGACTCTGACGTGTGGACCAAGTCCCTTAACCTGTTGCAGAAATTGAATTCGACTGCCCTAGATCGAACAGGGCTTCTCTTCCACCCCCAGACAGAGCCCCAGTTGAATTAGACAGATCCACCTCGCACAGTCAGGTCTTTCCCTGTCTTAAGTAGGAGGTAAAATTTGGGTGAAGATGTATAGGATCTAGCCCAGGGGCTAACTTCTGCTTTACGGGTCAGTAAGGGTATAGAGACCTCCCCCAAAAGCTGCGATTCTGGGGCGAGCTTTGACCCCAAATCATCTGAACCCTCTTCCCCTAATAACCCCTTCCCTTAGCAGGGACCCGCCTGGTTATACAGCCTTATGGTCCTTAAACCAGCTGGTGCTGCCCTGACCCCTCATTTCCCACACTCCCAGGCCAGGTCCACTCCTTCCCCTCCCCCTTGCGCTCCTCCCCTTTCCGGGAGCCTCGTGCCCCGGGCCGAGCTGGGAGGGATCCAGGTGCCTAAGAGGGCGGGTCCGGGTGTCCCCTGTCCCCCCACCCGGGAGCCTGAGGGATATAAGGCGCAACTCGTGCAGGGGCTCGGTCCATACCAGGGTCCAAAGGAGCGATGGTCACCCGGGATCGAGCCGAGAATAGGGACGGCCCCAAGGTGAGAGGCGGGAGAAGAGGGAGCAGAGATCCCTGGTCCAGTCAGGGGACCGTGTCTCTGAGACCGTGGGTCTGGGAAGAGGCTGGAGACGCTGGGCTGGAAGGGGGAGATGTGCACGGGAGTTCCAAGGAGCCAGGAGCTGGGGAGAAAGCTGCAAAGTATGAAGAAGGGATCAGGGTCAGAGCAGGACCTGCGTGGGCGGCAGAAGCAGAGGTGTGGGGTTTGGGTGATGGGAGTTGGCAGCCTGACGTCTCGAGGGCGTGGGAGGGGGCTGGTGTTTGAGTGAAATAACCAAGAGGAGCACAGAGCTATGGGAGGAGGGTGGAAATGAGCTGAGATATGCACTTTCTCCACGCGGGCTGGCCCAGTGGGCACTGGTACCAGAGGCCCGAGACCAGGTGGAAGATTTTAGAACCAGTCGAGAACGGTGACCGCTTAAACGGGTTAGAGAGAGAAGAGGAGGCGCGGTTGCGCTGGGTATCTCACTTTCTACACTCAGGGTCGCCAACTCTGAGTCCAGCACCTTGTGGCCCACGTGTCTGGGCGCAAAGAGGGCCCCCAAAGTTCTCCACTGAGACAGAGACAGACTGCACGATGCGGAGAAGTAGAGAGAAAAGAGGAGGAGGAGGAGACACAGAGAGGGGAGGAGGGAGGACAAGACTGAGAGAGGAGAATTCAGAAGACCCAGGAGAGAGAGGAGGCGAGCTTCAGACACTGCCCCTAGGGGCGTTGGGCGGGGGGGTGGAGAGGGATCGAATGGGTTGGGCCCTGGACTCTCAGGAGTCTTGGGGAAGGGGTGGAGGCGGGACTATCCCAGCGGCGGGATTCCGACTCCCGCGCGGCCGCGCTGAGTCTTGGTCCGGTCTGCCCGCTCTCCCTTTCCTGCTGGTCGCAGATGCTGAAACCGCTTGTGGAGAAGCGGCGCCGAGATCGCATCAACCGCAGCCTGGAAGAGCTGAGGCTGCTGCTGCTGGAGCGCACCCGGGACCAGGTCAGTCTTTCTGGACCCCCAAGCATCCCGTTCTTGCGTCCCAGGGCTTCCCACTTGGGTGGGGACATAAACTGGCTGCATTGGCGACCCTGGCCCCAACGCATCCTGACCTGAGTCCCGCCCTTGGAATCCCATCCCAGACCCCCTCTTGTCTCAGAACGCGATCTTCATGGCCACCCCTCGGGTCTGTAAGTTTCACACCCGGTTCTATAAATTTCACTTCCAGGGTGGGTGCGTTTCAACCTCTGGGTCTGTAAATTCTTCCTCTTCCTCCCCCTACCCCTAAACAGCCAGCAAAGGGAGTTAATTTCAGTCACTGGGTTTGCTACTTCATATGCCCTCCTCATAATGCGGGATCGATTTCATTCCCTCGGGTTGGATAGTTTCGTCTCATGGTGGGCGAGGACCATTCTTGGTCATCTCCACTCCGCGTTTGGTAGCGCGCTCTGTGGTCAGCGCGCAAATGCGGTCCGGGGGCACCCCCAGCTCCCGCATCCCTCCTTCCTTTCTTCCCCCTGCCACTTTCCCCCTCTCTCCCCACCCCTCTGTCTTTGCGCCCTCCCCTCCTGTCTGTAGAATCTCCGGAACCCGAAACTGGAGAAAGCAGAGATACTGGAGTTCGCCGTGGGCTACTTGAGGGAGCGAAGCCGGGTGGAGCCCCCGGGTACAGCGCGGGGGTGGGGCAGCGGAGGGAGGGAGAGGGGATTCACTGAGGTCCTGGCCGGGGTAGATGGGGCGGAATTTGCCATGGATGGTGGGCTTGGGGAGTGGCAGAGTCTGCTCTGAGGCGAGGTTAATAACACCCGCGCGTGTCTGTCTCTGTGTCTCCCTCATTTTCTCTCTCTGTCCGTCCATCTGGTTTCCTGTCTCTGTGCGCCTGTCGGGCCTCGGTACCTCTGCGCCCCGCCCCTTCCCTTACCCCTGCCGGGCCCCTGCCCTGATTGCCCGTCCTCCCATCGGCCGCACCCACCGCCGCGGCTCCAGGGGTCCCCCGGTCCCCAGCCCAAGACGCCGAGGCGCTCGCCAGCTGCTACTTGTCCGGATTCCGCGAGTGCCTGCTTCGCCTGGCGGCCTTCGCGCATGACGCCAGCCCGGCCGCCCGCGCCCAGCTCTTCTCCGCGCTGCACGTCTACCTGCGCCCCAAGCCGCCCCGGCCGGAACCCGTAGATCCGAGGCCCCAAGCGGCGCGCCCACTGCTGGACCCCGCCGCCCCGGCGCCTGGCCCCGCGCCGCAGCAGCGCCCCCCAGTGCACCAGGGCTCCTCCAGCCCTCGCTGTGCCTGGTCCCCGTCCCCTTGCTCCCTCCACGCCGGGGATTCCGGCGAGCCGGCGCCCCTCACCGGACTGCTGCCGCCTCCTCCGCCGCCTCACAGACAAGATGGGGCGCCCAAGGCCCCGCCGCCCCCGCCGTCCTCTTTCTGGAGACCTTGGCCCTAAGTTTTGGGGGGTGGGGGTGGGGCTGGGGGTAGGGTAGAGACTCCAGCCTAAGGGCAGCACAGGGACCCGGGCGTCGGGGTGAGGAGGTGCTGGGGAGGTCGGCGGGGCGCGCGGGCGTAGCGCGCGGGTGAGATGTGGTCTATATTAGAGTATCTATATAAATATATATTTCCCTGGTTCCTGTCCCTTTCCCCTACCCGGCCTCCCCCGTGTCTAGGATTGTACCTTCTCTGCCCCTAGCCCAGCCCCAGTCCCTTCTCGAGTCCCTAGTGCATGGAATAAAGTGGTTATTAAACCCCCGTGTGTCCCAGAGCCAGGGGCCTGCCTTTATCTCGGCGTCCACGCCCACTTTCCCTTCCCTTTTGTCTTCCATCCCTCCCCCTCCCCTCACCCCAGTCTTGCTCTCCGTGGCCCAAGCCCCGGGGCAGACAGGTAAGTAAAGAAGAGAGCAGAGCAAAGACTGAGGTTGGAGCTGAAAACGTGGAAAACACACAGATAGGGTAGGGGGAGAAGGGATGGGGGACCTTTAAGAAAAAAACCGGATATAGAAAAGAAAAAAGTTGAATAAAAACCGACTCTGGTGGGATTCGAACCCACAACCTTTGAATCGCTCATTTTATCACTAGAAGTCCAATGCGCTATCCATTGCGCCACAGAGCCCGCAGTCAAGTCTCTGCGTCTGACGGCTTACGGGTAATAGTGTGGGGGAGGGGAGGGTGGCCGGCCAAGAGCGCGGGGTTTGGACTTCGGAGGCCTGCCTGGGAGAGGTAGCGGGCGAAAAGCAGGTGAACCAGGTGGGAGTGCGGGCGCACATGGGTGGGAGAAAAGAGAGTAACCAAATATGAGCGAGGGGGCGAGTAAGAGCTCCGGCTGCTTGCTTGGGGGATGCTTCCAGCCCAGGTGCACCCCACTCCCAGATGTGGCCCCACCCATCCAAATAAACTTGTTTCGTTGTAGATTTCTGTGTCTCTGTTTCCTTTGGTTTACCTGCTTTGCCATCTGCGGGTTCGCAGTTCTGAATCTAAATTATTTCCAAAGAAAACCAGCTAATTAAATACAACCGTCTCTAGCTTACTTTTCTACAGTCTCTTAGGAGGACTACGGAGAAACCTTTACTCCACCTAGGTAGCGTGGCCGAGCGGTCTAAGGCGCTGGATTTAGGCTCCAGTCTCTTCGGAGGCGTGGGTTCGAATCCCACCGCTGCCAACCAAGAGTTTTTAGTGGGTTATGTCACACGTAAAATCACACAAGACTTTGTGGGATCGTCCTCAATTTTATGAGGACTCCTGGTGAAAGTCTCACCACTACCTTCCCGCTCTGGTACACCAGGCATAGTTTTACCTAGGTCTGCATCCCAACCCCAAATCATATCGCAGGTGGAAACTGCTGGACTAACCCTCACTACTTCATAGCTTATCTACCCGGTAACAGGTCCTCAAATAACAGTCTCAGTTCTCAGAACAAGCGCAACACTTATTCATACACACCTTTAAGTGATTTGTGGAGTGTTTTCCTCACGGTGTGCTAGCGGATCCAACTATCAGTCCGGAAAGCTCATCGGGTTGTAGTTTTCTTTTTAGATCATCTCAGATCATAAAAACATGTGGTATACAAAACTAATTGTGAGACACGTTGATCCTTGGAGAAAACAAAGCATAAGGTTCCACCGAGATTTGAACTCGGATCGCTGGATTCAGAGTCCAGAGTGCTAACCATTACACCATGGAACCTGCTTGGTGCCCAGCTTTTTCTGAATGGTTATATATTAACCAACTCCCTGTTCTATTTTTCTATATTCTGCCTTTTACGGAAGACAAAACAACATAAAAACAGCTGTCAGATAAGGTAGAAGCCACTATTGAACACTGAAATACGAATTGAGATGTAAGTATAAAGTAGAAACTGTACTTAGAAAACAATAGAAATTGTTATAATTTCATGAATATGAAAATGTTGATTATGTGTTAAAATGCCAAGATTTTGGACATTTTGGGGTAAATAAAATGTTATTGAAATTAATTTCGACTGTTATTTTCACTCTTTTTTAAACAACAGATTTTATTTCTTAAAGCAGTTTTAGGTTTCCAGAAAAATTGAAGAAAAAGTACAGTGAACTCCCACGTACTCCTGCTACCTCCACAGTTTTTTTCTTTTATTATTACTATTTCATTTTTAGCTTTATTGAGGTATAACTGACATACACAAAAGTCACACATTTAGTGTTTAAAATCTTGGTGAAACTTCTTTCTCTTTTTAATACAGCTACTAGAAATTGTAAATTTAGCGTATATGACTCCCATTTGTAATACTCTAAAATACCTCTATTTTCTTTCCCGTTATTCGTTCTGCCTTCTGAAAACTAAAACCCTGACTCACTTAATACCACTTTTTTTTTAATAGACAATAAAAACTCTTTGTTAACATTCAAATATCATCCCACGGCCATGTGGTCCACTCCCAGACATCCGAGACCCAGGCACAAATCTAGCGCAGCCTCGGTCTCTCGCTGTGACTCCAGTAGGGTGGGGCCCTCGTTCCCAGGGCCTTTCAGGCTGCGGATGACCCAGCTACTCCTGTTGTCCATGAATTTCACACATACGTGCTTGCATTGCCCCTGCACGTCGGTGACCCTGGCTAGCTTGAGTTGTTGCACACGACTTGTGTCCATAACGGCGGCGGCCCGGCCATCACATCCTTATAAATTAAGTAATAGTGTTTTCGTTATTCTTTTCCTTTGTTTTGTTAGAATGAACGCAAATAATCACTGTACTAAAAAAGGGGATGGTGCTGTTCTGATAGGAAAAAAAATACCGGAACGCCCGAACAGGGACTTGAACCCTGGACCCTCAGATTAAAAGTCTGATGCTCTACCGACTGAGCTATCCGGGCTCCTGTAGCGCAAGGGTTGCTCTTCTGTATTTAATAGTATTTTACCTGCAAAAGTTTGTGCTTGTAAAATTGAGGAGTAATTGTATGTATGTATTCAAATAATTTGGGCACAAACCCTAAGAAAGCTAGAGTAGCCGGGTGACTGTTGATCGCGCTTCTTACCAAGACTCTCGAGTAAAGTTCCTACGGAGTTTGGTTTGCTAAGGCTGCAGCGCTGCGAAGTCTGGGATGGTGCGGCGCCAAGACTGGCCGCGTGGGGTCGCTGCCGGCTGCCAGCTTCCCTCGCCGGGTGGTTTCTCCATAACCTGGAAGACCTAAATTCCAGGCACCCCGGCACCCCCACTCCAGTCCAGAGGGTTCAAGGGCAGGCCCGGAGCAGAAGAATGCCACATAGGGCTTTCAGATGCTGTGCACCCGGAGTGCACCTCGATACCCCGACGGGCCCCATTCCAAGGGAGAGATTGATATCTAGCGTGCCAAAGACACGGGATACAGACAAGCTGGGCGTGGAATGGTGGTGCGGAGTGTGCTGGGTGACAGAAGAGTTGTTTCTGACCCCCACGCGGTGTGCAGGAATGCGTGAGACTCACCTGCCTGTGGCTGTAGTCACGTGTGGTTTATGGTGGTGTGTCTCACTTGTGTATAGTGATTCATAAGATGATTCACAAGTAGGAATGTGGGTGCTCTGTTCCCAGTTGTGGTTGAGAGAGAAGAGGAAAGGTTCTTTGTGGGGCAATTTGGGTGTGAAGGGACGGAAAAGGGCCCCTGAAGCATCTGTAGGGCTCCTGACCAGAAGGAGGGCAATGTTTCAGTGATACAGACGTCACCTACTCCCTGTCTCTTTTTCAGCATTTGGTCCCTCCCTTTCCAAGGGGGCTCGAGTTCCTGATACTCATCTGGGTGAGCCGCCCTGTTCTGCCAGCCAGAGGGACCGGCTGTGTCAGAGGGAAGCAAACAACTATTAGGGTGCAAGTGTGGGCGGAGAGAGGGATCCCACAGTGAGCAAGGGCAGAGACCAGGAGTTTCTGGAGAGAGAGCATCTCAGAGAGAGTCGATCCTCTTCTCAGAGGCCTAGCCTGCCCCCCACACCCCCACCTCAGAGCTCTTCTCCATCGGCTCAGCATCTCAGCAAATTCTGCCCCGCCTGCTGCTCGCCTGCAGGCCAGGGGCTGTTGGGGCCAACCTTCTTGGGGGCATTCCTCCTTCCTGCTCATCATGGCCGTGTACCGCGTGCGAGTGACCACTGGTGCTTACCTGGGGGCAGGCACACTGGACAACATCTCTGTCACTCTGGTGGGCATGTATGGTGAGAGCCCCAAGCAGCTACTGGATCGCTTGGGCAGGGACTTTGCCCCTGGATCGGTGAGTACTAAGGAGAGAGGGAGAAGTGGAGGTAGGGCAGCGGGGTGACCCTGAAGGAGGGGAGGGTCTTCCTTCAGGGCTCATCAAATCCTGCAGAACTCAGAATGCCGGTCCTGACCTCCACACCATTCCTGGTTCTGTCTGGTTCCTGTGTTTCCTGGGGATAATAAATCCCACCCAGACAGGACTGTGAAGGAGCCCTGGGCAAGGGGGTCAGAATTCCCCTGGCTTCCTAGCTCCTCCTCTCATAACTGAAGATGGGCTTTGGGCAAGTCACTTGAACTCCCATAAGTCTGGGTTTCATCTTCTCTGGAGGAATCTGCCTGTCTCTGTCAGGCCCAAGGATTGTTTGCTGGCGGGTCTTGGGGAGAAGTTGGCTGCCAAGTAGGCTAGTGAAATTCAGAACCCACCCTTGCCTGTGGTTGCTGTGGTTGCTTCTGCCTTGTGAAGGGATGCTCTTTTCAAATTCATGGCTCTTTTTGTGCTAGGCACAAAAGCATCACATGGGTCAGCAGCAGGTCAGGTTTCTATGCCAGAATAGGTGTAGGTTATAGCCACACCTTGCAAGGTGCAAGGACAGCTCTGGTGGTTCCTTGCCTCTCACCCGCTCCCTCTCTTGGTCCTCTCAGGTGCAGAAGTACAAGGTGCGCTGCTCAACAGAGCTGGGTGAGCTTTTGCTGCTGCGTCTACACAAGGAGCGCTATGCTTTCTTCCGTAAGGACCCCTGGTATTGCAGCCACATCTGTGTCACCACCCCCGATGGTACCCTTTTCCACTTTCCCTGCTATCAGTGGATTGAGGGCTACTGCACTATAGAGCTGCGACCAGGAACAGGTAGGCCAGAGGCAGGGACTGTCCTGTGCTCCAGAAGGCATCTATTGGGATTAGGGGCAGGGTCTCTCAGAGCCCAAGGTGTAGAAAACAGGTTTGGGGTTAGTGTAACAAGTTCAGGGCTCCCAAGTAAATGTTTCCTGAAAAAAAAAGTGAGCCTCTAAAGCCCTGAAAGGTAGAGGCCTTCTAGACAGTATTCACCTCTCTGGAGATACACATAGACACATGCTCATGTCCACTCACGCCACCCAGCAGAGACACAAACACACACAGATGGCAGTTTGCTTCCTGCTGACTGCCACCGCATGTCCCCAAACGGAATCCTCTGCAGCCCAGAAAGGAACTAACCTGCAAGCTGAGTGGATTTCAACAGGTGGAGAAGCCCTGAATGTTCAGAGAAGTTAGCTGAAAAGGCTCTATCCATTACTACTGGCTTTTCCAATGTGGATGGAGTCCCTGTGAGGTGCTATCAGGATTCCTTCTTGAATTTAGGTGGATTTTCAACAAAGCTGGGCTCTGGCTCCTTTGGCTTCTGTCTGGACCCCCACAGCTCCTGAGTTGTCTGATCTGGAAAGGCAAGACTAGGGCTAGTCTATGGTTTGAGATGAGTTTTAGGAATGAGAGATGCTGCTCTAGATCAAGGTAAGGTGAGTGAGCATTACTCCCTGGCCCATAGTGAGTTCTTCATAGATCTCCCTCTGAAACCCCATCTATCATCATAACACTCCATTCATCACTTCACAAAATATACTACATATGTTCACCTTGTGTACTGTGTACATGCTGTGTACACTGTGCTAGGTAGGCACCATGCTACATTCTGAGAATACAGAAAGTGAATACAATGTGACTTCTGCCCAGAAAGGGTTAGTCTTAGGAAGAAGACAAACACGCAAACAATACAGAAGATTGTTATAATTCAGGGGTTGTCCTGCCTGAATCCCTTCTACTGATGAATGTACAAAGAACACAGGTATCCACCTCACTGAGGGTTGGGTACAAGGGTTAAGGGGTTCAGGCAAGCTTTGCTGGAGAAGCTTTTGTTAGAAAAAGAGACTTAATCAATGAGCAATTTTCATTTTCCACAGCGAGAACTATTTGTCAAGACTCTCTTCCAATCCTTCTGGACCACAGGAAACGGGAGCTCCAGGCCCGACAGGAGTGCTACCGGTGAGGGTAACCTAGTTTGACTTCTTTTCCCATCTTTGTTATGACCTCAGACTTAATCACTTTGCTAACTTTGACCTCGGTTCCAATCTTGGGGGCCCAACTCCAATCAGGAACGTTATTTAAACCTAACCTCAACCTAATACTGACCTTGAGTCCAGACTCAGAACACTAGTACCAATAGTTGTGTCAATACCATCAGTGAATCTGCACTCAGCCCCAGCTACCTTTGATGTGACCCTAGAATCAGCGAATCTCAGCCCATCCTCAGACTCACCCCCTCCTCAGCATCAGTCCCGACCTGTCCACGATCTTGATCTCAGCACAAACCTGACCTTAACGCAGCTTGGACATTCACGTCATCCTCCAATTCTACTCTGACCTGAAGCCCGGTGCCTCAGGGAGAAAATTTAAATTTTCTGTCACCTACCCAGAAAGTTGGAGTTTTGGGGCGTTTTAATTTCAAGGCATGCCTTTGGGAGCTAAAGTTTCTGTGTTCCCTAAATTTGACCTACCACCTCTAACCTCTTTCCCTTGGAAGCTGGAAAGTCTATGCCCCTGGCTTCCCTGGTATCGTGGATGTCAGCAGCTTTGAGCAGATTGAGTCAGACAAGAAATTTGCCTTGACCAGGACAACAGCGTGTGCAGACCAGGATGACAGGTGAGGGAAGACCCGGGCTTTGGGAAGAAGGTGGAGGGGTGTGAAGTGAAGGGTGTGTCAGGAGGCTGGATGCCAGGCAGCCTGGAAAGAGAAGTTGGCAACTATGATAAATGCAATTTAATCTAAGTGTCAGGAGTGGAATAGGCAGGGAGGGTCCAGGGGTCTGGCAGAGAGGACGAGGTGGTTTCAGGCCTGAGAGGAGAGAGCAGGGGAAAAGCCCACAGTGAGGGAAGTCTGGGGGAGGAGAAAGGGAAGGAATTAAGGAAGTGAGCCGCAGATCTTTCTAACTGTTCTCTGTTCTTCCCCACTACCCTCCCATCCCTCGCTCCCAGCAGTGGGAATCGGTACCTGCCTTTCTTCCCCATGAAGGTTGACATCCCGTCTTTGCTGCACATGGAGCCCAATATTAGATACTCAGCCACCAAGACGACCTCGCTGATCTTCAACGCCATTCCTCCGTGAGACAACTGCTGGCTCTGCGCTCCTGCTCACTGTCCCATCTGCCTCTGCCCCTTCAATGCACGGACACATCTCTGCTTCCCTTTTCCTTCTTTCTGCCTCCAGTCTTCCCTCTCTTTGTTCCATAGTCTCCCCTCTCCCTGTCCCAGTCTTTCCCTTCTGTGGTCCCCAGTTTCCTCTGCTCCTCAGTCTCCTCTCTCTCTCTCTCTCCTTAGACTCCTCCATTCTCTATCTTCCCATCATCTCCTCTTTGCTCCTTATTCATCCATTCTTTTTTTTTTATTCCTCAAGCCAATACAATTGACTGTGCACAGCATGGCCCCAAGCACTGCTGGGACCATGTTGAGTAGAACAGACAGGCCTCGCGCTTATGCTTGAAGGAGGTCATCAGACCACCTCGGTTTCAGCTCCCAGAACCAATGCTTTCTAGCTGTGTGAACTTGATTTTCACTTAGCCTCTAAATAGTTTCCTCATTTATAAAATGACAATAATATGCATACCTACCTCATAGGTTTGGGAGAAAACTTAATGAAGTAACACCCAGCACAAAATAATCTCTCAATAGATGCTAGTAGTATTTAGAAATAATCTTGGCTGGGAAGGACTGGGTATCACTAGGGAGACATGCAACACAGTGAATTAGCAATTGAAATGTTATCAGCAGCTCAAGGCAACAGCTGAAGTTCTAAGTGTGACATGGCTGGAGGGGGTACTGTCCACACTCTGGTGTCTAGAGGAGGCAAGGGTCTGGGGGGGGCGGGCAGGAGGTGGCTTTTTGGGTGGTAGGTGGGACTGAAGCAGGCTTTACGCCAGGGAGAGAAGGATAGGTGAGGGGAGAGTGGGTGGGTCCTGGGCAAACCCACTGACCCTGTCAGTTCCCTCCAGACCCCTAGGCTGGGGACACAGTGCTCCAGGAAGCCCCAGACCATCCCACCTTCACTTCCCCTCCCCCTCAGGTCCCTGGGCATGAAGCTTCGAGGGCTGCTGGACCGAAAGGGCTCCTGGAAGAAGCTGGATGACATCCGGAATGTGTTCTGGTGCCACAAGACATTCACTTCAGGTGTGCAGAGCCGAGCAGCAGATGTCCGTCCTCTAGCCTGTCCCGTGCTCAGAACCCCCTCTGCGTTCCTGATAAAGCACCCCCCCCAGCACTCTCAGACAGCCTGCTGGATTCTGGTGGGAGGGGCTCCTGGTGTCACTGGTGGCAATCTCACGACTCCCCCTCAGGAACCCTTGCATCTCCCCTTCCTCTGGGAGGAGACAAGAATAGGGGAGTAAGCACAAGAGATACTTTGCTTGCCTGAGAAATGTCAAAAGTCACTTAGGGAGCCCCGATCTTGCTCAGGAGCACTCACTTCTGTTCCTCTGCCCCCACCACCAAGCCTTCTGGGCTTTGGGGCCAGACTTCGGTTCAAGCCCTGCTATGCCACTCAGCTGAGCAACTCACTCCAGCTCTTTGACTCTCAGTGTCCAGTGTTAAGTGAAGATGTAACTCACCTACTTTGTAGGGTTGCTGTGAAATCCTAAACTAAAATGATGATGAGCAAAGAGCTGGGCAGGAGCGAGATCTGGTGAAGTAGTTTCCAATCCAATCAGTCCCTCTCTAACTCCCTAGAGTATGTCACAGAGCACTGGTGTGAGGACCACTTCTTCGGGTACCAGTACCTGAATGGCGTCAATCCTGTCATGCTCCATTGCCTCTCCAGCTTGCCCAGCAAGCTCCCTGTCACCGATGACATGGTAGCCCCCTCGCTGGGGCCTGGCACCTGTCTGAAGACAGAGCTAGAGGTGGGTGAGTTGCCATTATGGAGAAAGCATGGTGTGAAGGCTGGGGTGGGATGGCCAGGGCTGCATCCAGCCTGCAGGCCTTATCCTCCGGGCAGCCCTGGCCCTGCACCTTTTAAGTAGAGTAGATGCGAATGAGCACCAGATGGGCCAGGGGATGGCGCGTGATGTGAATGTTCAGGACTCCTCGAAGGGGGGTGAATGAACAGGACAGGTTGGAGGAGGCTCTCCCTCTATTCTGGGCCTAAGATCCTAAGTGCTGATGCCCAAAGAAGGCTGCTTGAGGACGGACCAAAGACAGTGCCGTTAGATATAGTAGGTACAATCACGGAGAACTAGGAGTTTTGACGGTGTGGAAGAAGGTGATGATCCAGTTTCTCTGAAGCAGTCAACTGCTCAGGTACCCTCTAGAAGGCTGGAGATGTGTTTGGTGATTTTGTTTTTCTTGGATACACTGAGGTCATCTGTGTTGAGAGTGGGAAGGACCAGGTAGGGGCAGAAGGGGAGAGGATGAAGGCTTGTCCAAGCTGGGAAGCCAGGTGAGAGGTCGCACAACAAGGTATTCTGCTGGACCTCATTCCGAGCATTCTGGGAAGGGTGGGGTACCCGACACTGACCATGAGTGTAGATACCAAGCATTACCGAGGCCAGAGCTGAGGTGGAAATGGGCAGAGAACAGGGAGAAAAGCGGAGCGCGGGTGGGACGGGCACTCTGAGGCTCTGTGCGCCCTTCCGCAGAGAGGGAACATCTTCCTGGCTGACTACTGGATCCTAGCGGATGTCCCTGTCCAGTGCCTAAATGGCCGCCAGCAGTACTTGGCCGCCCCTCTCTGCCTGCTGTGGCTCAACCCCCAGGGGGCGCTAATGCCTTTGGCCATCCAGGTGAGCCTGTAGCGGGGCTTTTGGGGGTGGGGCTTCAAGGTGCACCGTAGCTGTCTTAAGTCTTACTCCCTTATTATTCTTGGACGCAGCTCAGCCAGACCCCAGGGCCCGACAGCCCCATCTTTCTGCCCACTGACTCGGACTGGGACTGGCTGCTGGCCAAGACCTGGGTGCGCAACTCCGAGTTCCTTGTGCATGAGAACAACACGCACTTCCTGTGCACACATTTGCTGTGCGAGGCCTTCGCCATGGCCACGCTGCGTCAGCTGCCACTTTGTCATCCTGTCTACAAGGTCGGTGAGACCCCCTGGCGGGTCGAGAGGTGGCGGGGTCAGGGCAAGGCCCTGACCTCAGTTAGCTCCTGTGACCTCATCCCACTCGCAGCTCCTGCTTCCTCATACTCGGTACACGCTGCAGGTGAACACCATCGCCCGTGCCACGCTGCTCAACCCTGAGGGCCTGATAGACAAGGTGCGGCCTCCCTGACCCCCGCCCACCCAGTCTCTGAGGCCCCCCTCCGAAGGTTACTTTGCTCGACCTACAACCCAGTTTGGCCTCAAATCTCATCCCACAGTTCCCGCCAGCCATCCCCTTTTCCTCAAGACCTGCCCCTGCCCTCAGTTTCCTACTTGCACCGCCCACAAACCTTGTCTCTGCCTGCCCATCTCATCCATGGGGTCCCACCCCTCAGGCCAAGTTCCAAATGCTCCTTGAGGTGGGTAGGGCACCCCCAGCCTAAGCACAACCCCCCGTGGACCCCAGGCCAACCCCTGCTCTGCCTCCCTGACTCCCTAGCGTCAGTTCTTCATTTAGTTACCGGATACCTAATGATTACCTCCTATGCACATAGTAGGGTCACAACCTGGGCAGCCCACGTTGAGTTCCAATGGATGATTTTGATCTGTGATCTTGCACTGCTTGATTAGCTGAAAAAATCCCCTCTGCTGAGTCACTAGCCTCGTCTGGTCCCCCAGGCACCAGGGAGGAGGTTGGGAGGGCCCAGGAGCTGAGCTGTGATGTGTCCTCAGGTCACCTCGATCGGGAGGCAAGGCCTCCTCTACCTGATGAGCACTGGCCTGGCCCACTTCACCTACACCAATTTCTGCCTTCCGGACAGCCTGCGGGCCCGAGGTGTTTTGGCTATCCCCAACTACCATTACAGAGATGATGGTCTGAAGATCTGGGCCGCCATTGAGAGGTGTGAGTCTGGCCCCGCAACAGGGGCAGTGTGGCCCTCTGTGCTGATGTAGGCTGGGGCGCTTGGTGGTGGGGTTTCCAGGTGTTCTCAGCATGGGGCACTCCCAAGGGTGAGCATTAGGGTTGGGGTCCCCTGTGAAATGGCAGATAGCTTTGGGCTGGAGAGAGGCTGGGCTGTGTGTGAACACAGTGGAGGAAGGGAAGAATAGAGTGTCCAGAGAAGGTGAAACAGCTCTGTGTAGCCTGGGGCCTCCCGCCAGGCAGGTCTTCCTTTCTCTTGGGTGCTGAGTGGGGAGGGGAGGCAGCGTGAGTCTGGCTCTCCTCTGCGTACCCTTCTCCAGCCCCTGTGCAGGAAGGAGGCCCAGAGCAGCCAGGACTCAGGAGTGGTGTAGGGAGACTTGAGGGAAGCCTGGGCACTCAGGTTCCAGCTGCATCTGGGGATCTTCCATGGCTGTCAGTGGACTCTGACCAGCTGCCATCCCCTGCCTGAGCAGTACTGGATTGTAGTTTTCTGGCCAGGCCTGAGGCCAAGGTCACTGCAATAGGATAGCACGGGCATCTCTTTCCTGCAGCTTTGTCTCAGAAATCGTGGGCTACTATTATCCCAGTGATGTGTCGGTGCAGCAGGATTCGGAGCTGCAGGCCTGGGTCTGCGAGATTTTTGCTCAGGCGTTCCAGAGCCGGAAAAGCTCAGGTATGTCTTCTCCATCCCTTAACCAAGCTCCCAACGACGCAGTGCTCCCCCCGGCTCACCACTGATCAGTTCCTGTTTCTTGACTAGAGTTTAAAGTACATCCTAGTATTAGTCCCACTGAATAGATGAGGAATAGGCACAGAGAGGGTTATACAGTAAGTGGTAGAGGCAGGATCCAGGGTCGGACCCCAAGATCTGCAAAGCCCTTGCTTTCAACCTACCCTGTGGCCCTCTGGTCCCTTCTAGACCTTTACATGAGCCTGAGCCCATCCATTCACTTCCGTTTGCTGAGTTGTACAGACATGTTGCATCATGAGGTAGGAGCCATCTTTGTCCTCAAACAAGAATATTCCTCAGGGCATGCTGTGGTCTCCACATTGCATCATCTTGGAAGGCACATAATGTCAGGTTGTCCCACTCTCAGTGATACCTAGAGTGATTTCTGAGTAAAGGTGGTGACAGCCAGATTGCTTTTGGATCTTTTAAAGGGTGACCCCTCCCTGAGCTTTGCAAGCCTGCTGTTGATCACGGGCATCCGTGATTTCCATTGCTCCTCTTCCCAAAGGCGTTTCTCTTTGGGGTGGTCTGTTTCTTATTTAAGACCCAGAAGGGGGTATAATTACTGTTGGCTCACTCTCCTATCTTACTTAAGCTTGCCTCTAATTTAATACACCAGAACATTCTTCACACTGATAAACATCTCTCCTGACCAGTATAAACTTATCCTAGTTTCATCTGTTTTAAGGTAAAACACTCATTCATTAACCTCAGGCACTATGCCTTTTGCTCCATATTTCAAGGGGGAAAAACATTCATATGAGTTACAGAAAAATTCCCATAGACAATCTGACTGCTTTCCTTTTTTATTTTCAGCCCTCAAGGTTAGACTATCAGCCAGGAATAGAACATTCAGAAACTTCCCACACACTCCCAGGCAGATACCCAATCCTTTCTTGAAACCTCTCTGCCTGCCCTGTGGCATCAGTGTCCCTCCAGTCATCCTGACTCCGTCTTTGACTCATGCTCCCCTCTGCCTTCCTCTTCCCCTAAATCCCGGTGGGTGGCAAACCCTATTGTCCCTATAATTTCCTGCTGTCATCACCCTAATCCCAGCCTTCACGCTATTCCTGCACTGTGGCAGCTGCTTCTCAACCTTTAGATGCTCGCGTGTCAAGCCTGTGGGGCGCCGCCCTCGCGATCCTCTGAAATAGCGCCCAAAAACCCGGCCTGGCGCACTGCTGCAGCCTCACCCCCAACGAGTACCCTTACTGCCCCTCCACCTGGTTTTATGCCCCATTTCTTCCCACTCTGGCTTCTTACCCTCTCATGAATTCACTCCATTCAACTGCTCGTCACTGTGCTCTTTTAATACATAGTAAGTATTGCTCTAGGTGCTGGGGTTCAGCAGTGAATATGACAGACAAAAATCCCAGCCTTCATGGAGCTTAATATTCTTGAGGGGAGACACAGATAACAAACAAGTATGTTAGGTGGTTATGAATGCTAAAAAGACCAAAACAGCATCAGAAATCACTAGTGTGTTGAGGTGGGGGGGATAATTTCAGATAGATGGTCAGGGAAAGCCTCCCTGAGGGGGTGATGTTTGAGTAGAGATGTGAAAGAAATAAGAGAGCTATTTCTGTGGATGGCTGGGCTTAATGGGTGCAGGCAGAGGTGGGAGTGCAAGGCCTTGAGCGGGGAGCATGCTGGCTGGTTTGAAGAATAGGAGGAAGGCCTGTGTGGCTGGAATAGAGTAAGTGAGAGAGAGAAAAGCTGGGAAGGAAATGAAGTCAGAGAGTAAGCCAGAGCCAGATCAAGTAGGATCACAGTGAGGTAGGAGGGCTGGAAAGCCCGTAGAGGGTTCTAGCAAGTAGTGACAGAATTGAAATTTATGATTCTAAAGGACCGCTTCCTCAAGCTGTCGGAGTAATGGTGGAAGCAGTCAGATTCCCCCAGGAGTGAGATGCTGGGTACTGGTAGTGGTGGAGGCAGGCAATGAGACGAAATTGGCTTCTGGAAGTGTTTGCTGGTATGTGGGGTATGAGATAAGAGCAGTGAGCGCACAGGATAAAGACTATCAAAAAGGGATGACTGTGGGAGGGACAGGTTTGGGGAGTGTGTAGAGTAGGCAGCCAAGCATTAGGTTTTGCAGATGTTAAGTCTGAGATGGCTTGTAGACACTCAGCTGGTGCTGAGAGGGAGCAGCTGCAGAGTTAAGCCCACTATTGACCCTAAAGTTCAGGGGCGGGGGGAGCCAGCCAGAGATGTGAACTTAAGGGTTGTCAGCCCATGGGAGGAGGTTAAACTATGGACTCGGAGGAGATCAAGTACAGAGAGAAGAGGGCCAAGGGCTGAAATGCTTCCTCTGTCATCTTTTTTCCATTGACAGCTTACCCAGTCTTCCTCAGGAAGCCTCCTTCTCTTCCCACCAGCACAGCCTCAGTACCTTGCCTGCCTGCTCGCTCTTCAAAGAGCCAAGCCCCGGCCCGAGAGTTTCCTTCTGCTTCTATCACTGTGAGCTTATGAGTAGCACATTCTGGTCATCTGTCCCTGCAACTAAACCCAGTAGCAGATGACCTGCTTGCTTGGACAACAGTGAACTAGGTAGACTTAAATCATTAAGTGCTAACATGGGCTGTGGACAGGAGTGCGGGCACCTGGCTACACGGCTGTGCAAGCTGGGCATTTTCTGGTCTGACCCCAACACCCAGCTCCTCTCTTGACCTTCTTCAGAGACCACCAACCATGGTGGTGCCCATCTCTAACCTCAGACCAACCCTAATCTTAGTCTAAAGACAGTGGTGGCCAAGTGTTCAGCCCTCAACTCCTCACTCTCCCCCTGTGCTGAGCCCCAGCCCTGAGCTGCCCCTAGGAATCTGGTCCCCTCCACACCCTCTTCCCTTCCTCCCACACCCAGGCTTCCCATGCCGGCTGTGTACCCCAAAAGAGCTGGTGAAGTTCCTCACAGCAATCATCTTCAACTGTTCCGCCCAACACGCTGCTGTCAACAGTGGGCAGGTGAGGCTGCAGGGGGCAGGCCAGAGGGGCACTGGGCCGGGAAAGGTTAGACTCAGCAACACACAGGGGGCCGGAGCTTGGGCTGAGAGCATGGGTGGGTCAGGTTTGGGCGGGTTTATCATTAGGGTCGGGATAGGAGTGGTGACTGGGTGGAGGGAAGGACTCATGTCGGATGATGACTGGGGTGGAGCTGAGGCCAAGGTTGCAATGGCGGCTTGAGTTGGTGTTGCACAAGGAGTAGAACTTAGGGACTCCTGTCATGGTCATGATGGAGCCAAGTGGAGTATCAGGTTGCTCTGTTTGGCATGCCAGCCGAAGGCCTACTTCTAGAGTTACCTCCTCTCTGGGTCCTTCTCCTTCCTTGGTGATTCATTCCACCCAGTTGCACTGGGAAGGGAAGGGAGTGACAGGGGTGAGCCAGGCTCCTGCCGCGCTGCTGGAACTTCCTATCCTCTACCCCTCCTTCTCCCTTCCCATGACCTCCTCATTTCTGAGCTACAAGACCCGGGACAGAAGGGGGCAGGATCAGGGATAATGATAAAGGAGCTGGTCCTCTCCCTCTGGCCAGTTGACTCAACTGGGGTGGGGGTCTCCACAGCATGACTTTGGGGCCTGGATGCCTAATGCCCCATCGTCCATGAAGCAGCCCCCACCACAGACCAAGGGGATGACCACTCTGAAGAGTTACCTAGAGGCCCTCCCCGAAGTGAACGTCACCTGTAACAATCTTCTTCTCTTCTGGTTGGTCAGTCAAGAGCCCAAGGACCAGGTGTGTGCATGGGGTGGGGTTGGGGGGGTAGGGGTTTGCAGGGTCTGGGCACTGGAGGTGATGGTGGCCATTCCAGGGGGACTTAGGCAGTGACTGCTGGCATTTATGTCCACTGCTGAACTGCCTTGGGTTCTTCAGTTTCTTCAGGAAATGATAGTTGATCCCCAGAGATATACATTGAAGCAAATACCAGTTAGTGGCTGGGATACAACGTCCATCTAATTCACCAGTTTACCAATCCATCCATCCATCCACCCAACAAACCATTTATTCTTCCATCCATCAACCACTTACCCATTCATCTAAACATTCAACACACATTTATTGGGTACCTCCCGTGTGTCAACACAATGCTGGGCACCAGGCATGTAAAGTTGGGTGAGACCTTCCTGCCTTCAAGAATCCTATTGTCTAGCTGAGGAGATACACAGATGAAGGAAAAGGAGTACCATAGTGTTGTAGATATTATTTAGGTACTAATTCCTCCATTTGAACATGTACTTCTTGAGCACCTGCAATGTGCCAGGCGCTGATGGGCAGATGTGAATCCTGTCCACATGAGTTGGCTACAGTCCAGCCATAGATGTAAGGACAGGGCCCTGTTGGGACCTGACCAAGTGTGGGTGAACCCAGGGAGGCTTCTTGGAGGAAGTGACATCTAAACTGGGACCTGTGAGACCAGTAAGAGTTTGAGAGACAAAGGAGGGGCAGTGTGAATTTCTAGGCAGAGGTGAAGGATGAGACCAAGTGAAATGAAATGAAGTAAAGGCAAGAGTCCATTGTGTCTCGAGGATCACAAATGGGACAGTGTGGGCACAGTATTCACTCAGAGGACAATGGGGAGACACTGAAGCAATTTAAGCCTGGGGTGACATGGCCAAATTTGAGTTTTAGCAAACAGTGCTTCTGTGGCTGTGTCGATGGTTGGGAGGGGCTATTTTGGAGGCAGGAACAGCAGCGAGGAGGCACTACTTAGGCTACCAGGCCTTACAGAGGTGAACAGTCCTTTGGTCATGGATTGCCATCATCTCCATGTACACATTCAGCTATCAGTCATGCCTCTGCCCTTCTGGATGTGTTCACAAGCTCTCTGACATTACAGGAATATCCTCATTTCTCTTGTCTGACTCCATTTGGTGCAGATTTTTTATCTCCTTAGCAAGTTCTGACTTACCGTCCTATAGCCTGGGATTGCCAGAAACTCATCCCTGGGTCCTGATCTTTTCTGGTCCCCTCTCCCAAGGGTTTCGAGGCATTTATTTCTGTCATTATAAAGGAAAAACTCTTTTTCTGGTTTACTCACAGAATACTTTATTACTCTCAGTGCAATACTTTCACTCAGTACTTCTGGCTCCCAATGCATGCAGGTTGTTCCCACCTGAAACAATTCTCAGACACTGGCTGGGCGCCCTCTGAGTCGGCTCAGTGCTGACACTACCTGGAGACAGTGTCAGGTCCCGCAGGTTAAGGGCTCTGTCCCACAAGACTACTGCTGCCCCTCTTCAGACACTAACTGCCAAATGAAAGTCCAGGTTGTCAGCTGTGTTTCTGACCACCCAGCTATAAATCAGAGGTTTCTACAGCCCCCGCCCCAGGTTTGATTATGTGCTGGAACAGCTCACAGAACTCAGGAAAAGTTTCTAGAGTACAGGTTTATTATGAGAGGGTACAACTCAGGAACTGCCTGGTGGAAGAAATGCACAAGGTGAGGTGTGTGGGAAGGGGTGCCCTCTGCCCACACACCTCACCTTGTGTGCTCTCTCGGGGTACACCGCCTTCCAGCACCTCCACACGTGCACCAACCTGGGAGTTCCCAAACCTGCATCTTAGGAATTTTGATGAAGGCTTTATTACATAGGAATGATTGATTAAATTATGAGCCATTGGGGATTCATTTAGCCCCCAGCCCGTCTCCCCTCCCCAGAGGTTGGGGGGTGGAACTAAAAGTTCCAACTCCCTGATCATGTGGTTGATTCCCAAGGCAACCAGCTGGGTGGGTGTGCTTTCCGGAAGTCACCTCATTAACATAAACTCAGGCGTGGCTGAAAGAGGCTTATTTTGAATAACAAAAGACACCAGTAACAGTCTATCGTGAAATTATAAGGGTTTCAGGAGCTCTGTACCAGGAGTGGGAGGAAGACCAAATATATATTTCTTATAAATCACAATATCACAGCGGAGAGGGATGAGTAGGCAAGAGGAGAATGCGGAAGGATTCCCTCCCCATGAGCCAGTGGGGAGGTTAACCTGGGAAATTATAACGACCACAGTAATAGCAACTATCCCTTTTTGAGATTCTATCATCTTAGTCACTAAATCAGATACCGTATGTCCACTATTTTAAAATAGAAAATAAATAAGTGGCTATATTTAAAGTACTTCATCCCTGGCTGGTGTGGCTCAGTGGATTCAGTGCTGACCTGTGAACCAAAGGGTCACTGGTTTGATTCCCAGTCAGGGCATATACCTGGGTTGTGGGCCAGGTCCAGTGGGGGCCACATGAGAGGCAACCACATGTTGATGTTTCTCTCTTTCTCCCTCCCTTTCCCCTCTCTCTAAAAATAAATTAATTAAATCTTTAAAAAAATAAAGTACTTTATGCAGTGCCTAGCATATTACTATTCAGGAAATGGTAGTTTCATTTTACAGGGGAGGAAACTGAGGTTCAGAGACACTAAGCAATTTGTCTAAGGTCACACAGCTGGTAAGTAGGCTTGAACCCAGTCTACCATACTTCTGTGTTCTGCTTAAAAAAAAACTAGAGTTCCAGACATTAGATGTCAATTTGATAAATGAGACATAAAACTGATTCTTTGAAAAGACCAATAAAGGAGAACAGAGACAATTCTAGTCAAGAAAAAAAAGAGAGAACATAAATGTACAGCAGTAGGAATGGGAAAGGCATATGGCCACAAATACAGAGAAGACTGAAGAAATTGCAAGGAAATTCTACTTACAGTTTTATGCAAACAAATGTGGAAATCTAGGTGAAAGAAATGATTCTCTAGGAAAATGTAAAGAAAACTTAGCAGAAGAGGTGAAAACCACACACCAGTGGGAGAGGCTGTGAAAGGTCTGGTCCTGCCCTTACACAGGAGGCTCTAGCACACCGCCAAGAGCAAGCCATTCCTGCGTTATTCAGGCTGCTTGAAAGCGCAGACAAAGGCGAGAGTTTCCCAAATCACTGTATTGAGTTCTGCTTTACTGGGGACCCTGACACCCCCACCTGACGAAGGTGGGGCCCTTCAGAAGAGAGGTGGGTCTTAGGCAGAGGGTTCCTGTCCCAGATTGCACTTACCACCTAGGTGACCTTGGGGATGGAATGGGGTATCTCCAAGCCTTAGTTTCTTTTTTTCCTTTTTTATTGAATTTATTGGGGTGGGCCTGGTTAACAAAATTATATGGGTTTCAGGTGCTCAATTCCACAACGCATCATCTGTACACCGTACTGTGTGCTCACCACCCCAAGTCAAGTCGCCTTCCATCACCATGTATCCCCCCTCCCCCTCCCCCACCCCAGGCCTCAGTGTCTTTATCTGTGAAGTGAGAATGACAACAGCGCCTGCCTCACAGGATTGTTGTGCCATTGCGGTAGTCCCCATGTAGTGCTTGCAACACGCTAGCTGTAATTAAGAAACTAAAATTATAAACTTGTTCCGCTTAGCTACGACAATCTTAAAAATATATCATCAGCCAACGAAGGCCGATAGTACATAGTAAAACAACAATACACCGTGACGAAGTCTAGTTTATTCTAGGAATGAAAGGAATGAAAGGTTGGTTCAACCTTATGAAATCTAACGATATAATTTGTTACAGCAGTAAAGAAACACACCATATAATCATCTCAATATAGGTCAAAAACGCATTTGTTAAGAGTGAACAGCCATTACTAACAAAAACAGTGTAAAATGAAACCCCCTTATGGAATTTTGGTAGAAAGTATATTTCAGAAAACAAAACACTGTCTTTCTGGTATAACAGTAGAGGCCTCCTCATTCCAGTCGGGGGCAAGAAAACAAAGCACTCTTGCTGATGGCAGTTAGCATTTTTCCAGAAGGCTTTACTAGTGCAATAAAACAAGACAAAGCACTTTAAAACATCTGTGTTATTGGCTATAGTTTCGTAGTAGGAAGGTTTTATTGGGCGGGAAATGTGTGCTGTTTAGAGGCGGGCCCCACCAGCTGTGACGGTGAACTGGTTGTGTGGTGCGGTCATGGAGAGGGGCAGCCCCCGCTGCCACCCCGGACTGAAGTTCATTTTTTGACTGTCGTTGGCCATGCCATGCCATGTGACAGTGTTTGCGATGGCGACTGTGTTGGCAAAAATTTCATGATGTTAGGTAATCCGGAAGCTATCTCTGGCCTGGAGGTCTCTGGGGGTGAATTTTGTTCAGTTGTGAGGTAGTAGGTGTATAAATAGGGTGTGTTTGCTGGAGCGTGTTCACTTTGTTTTCCGTTGTTTTATGAATGAGGTTGTGTTCTTTTAGTTCACAGAACAGTGGACCTGGCACTGGCAGGGACCTCCGGAGATTTTCTCGTCCAATCCATCCATTTTCACAGGCAGAAACTGATTCAGGGTAATAGGCAAAGGGTTACCAGCAGGGGGAGCACTTACCTTAGGTCGGCTGGCTCCCAGGCCCGGTTCGCCCCAGGCTCTGCGAGCTGCCGGTGTTCTGGCTCCTCTGTGCGGGTTGCGGTCGCGTGAGTGGTGGTTTGTGGTTGTGATCTGAAGGGTGTGCGTTTACAGTAGCTGTGCCTAGTTCCTGCCCTTAGAGGCAATCTTGAATGTATTTGTTGACAAATGCAGTTCTTCGTTATTCTTCACCCTGCCCTTAACATGACCCTTACCCTGCACCTGATTTCCCTCCAGAGGCCCCTGGGCACCTACCCGGATGAGCACTTCACTGAGGAGGCCCCGCGGCGCAGCATCGCCGCCTTCCAGAACCGCCTGGCTCAGATCTCACGGGACATCCGGGAGCGGAACCAGAGTCTGGCGCTGCCCTATAACTACCTGGACCCTCCCCTCATTGAGAACAGCGTCTCCATTTAATCCCCTCCTCCTACCACCCCAAGAAGACAGACCCAAGCATGAGTAGGGCCAGATTCTCCTGGTCCTCCAGGCTCTTTCGCCCTCCCTGCTCTCCATCAGCCTGCAACTTCTCTGCAGGTGGGGACGGTTTTCCCCCCAAGATGGTTCTAGCATCATATGAAGTGGGCCCTGAGTTGTGAGGGACCAACCAGTACAACAGTATTCAGGGTGAGAAGCTGCTGGTTAAAGTCAAACGCACAACAGACCCTCCAAAAGGAAGGAACCCCATCACCCCTTGCCTTACTTTGGGCAGCCTCACGTTTCCCTCTCCTGTCAAAATCTACCTCCTCCCATTGGGACCCCCAGCTTGGGACTCTAAACTCTCCTTCCCAGTTCCCCTTCCCATCCCCAAACTTTATCTTACCTTGCCTCTTTGTTTCCACTTTCCTCCAACTCTGAGATCAACCAATCCAACTTCCTTCTCTGGAAGAGCCTGGAAACTGGATAAGAAAGGACGTATGCCCTGGATCTGCCGTGCAGACCCCTCTAACCCCAGCATCTTTAAGGGGAGGGTTAGAATTAGAGCCCAGCTTACCTGGACCTCTAGTTGTAGTTCTTTCAGGCCAGGATCCCTGGCCTGGGTGTGCACGGAGTCTCTTCCCAGCTCTTGTCCTCCTGCTATCATCTCTCCTTTTTGTTCGTTTGTTTATTTGTCCTTGAGCCCAATGAGTTCAATAAAAACCAACATATTTGGCTCCTGTTTCATTTTTTGCTTGATGTGTGTGTGTGTATGTAGGTAGGTAGGGGGAGGGGAGGTGCCAGGGGATTGGACAAGGTTGGATCAGCTGTGAGTCCCTTGGTCATGCAGTTCCACTCAACACCTAGCCAGGCCCTACATTCCTGCCTTCACCTCCCAGAGTGTGTCATCCATTCATCAGGAAGTGAAGGAGCATCCAAAATGAAGGGGTTGATAGGAAAAAAGTAGGTAATTTGCAAAGCCTGGGAATCCAGCTTCTGGGTGTGGGAGTTGTTAGTGTTGCCACTGAGATCCAGTTCCTCTTCTGGATTCACAGAAGACTCAATCTCTAGCTCTTTTAAGGGTGGGTGGGGTCATGGATGAGTTTTGGCTAATGAGCATTTAATTACTGGCATGAAAGCTTCAGAGTTCTATTCTTTCTGTCTCTGCTGTTGGAGAAGCACATGTTGAGATGGCACTTCCATCAGCTTCTGCCTCTGAGGGACTAAGCAGAACAGAACCCCTCCTGACCTGAGTTGCACATGATGTTGAGAGAGAAATAAACTTTTTTTTCTGGGGGAGAGTGGTTGGAGGGGTTAAGCCATTGGGATTTCAGGGTTGTTTGTTGTTGCAGCATAATCTAGCCCATTCTGACTGAAACAGATGGTAATCTGGGGAGTCCGAAGTTCTCCCTGACAGCTCTGGTGCCTTTAAAAATAGAGATCTGTATCTTTCTCCACAGCCACTCAACACCTTCCTGTTTCCTGCTTCCCTAGACCTCAGGTCCCGCTCCCCTTACCTACTCTGCTTCTTGAGTCAAATTCTGTGCCTGAGCAAACCTTGCTCATGGCTTCTCTCTGGCCAGAGTCACAGTGCAAGGAGTGGCAGGGTGGTGAGGGGGTAAGGGGGTGAGGGGTGGTGTGAGGCTTCTGCTCTACCAAAAGTCAGATTTTCACTTCTTGCTCCGGAGATCCTGGGAGAAGATGATCCCCACGTCATTGTGCGTGAAGAAATGTGTTTGAATTGATCTCATCTGCAGATTCTAACCTAAGAATTTAGAATCACCAGATTTTGTCCGTTTTAGAACAAAATCGGAGAATCAAGAGGCACCCCGTTGTGGCTAGGAGGACCGTGGACTGTAGCAGGGGCTGGATGTGCCTGCCCTTTAAATTTGTGCTTTGATTTAGAAGAGCAGGACCTGGTAGGCTGGAGGGATATCAGGGCACAGTCAGGCAGCCTGTCCCTCCAAGAGGATGAACTCGCCTTTGCCTGCACCAAAGTTAGTATTAGGAAGCATGCCCATTCTAAAAGTGCCCCTGGGCCAGAGAGGGAGGGGCCAGGGCAGATCACTTGATATGATTTCCCAGAAATCCAGCTTGGAGGGAGGTTTATTGAGGAGACACACCCAGCTGCAAGCAGGATTCTGCCCAGGCTCTGGGCACCTCTGGGGACAGGACTAGGGGAAGAGGCTCAGGTAAAGCTGGAGGCATGTCAGATAGGAGGCTTCCTCCAGCTTGCACTCTGGACCCTTCTATGCTTTTAGGTCAGTCTGGAAGGTGACTGGTATAGTGGAAAGCATACTAGCCCTCTTTCCCCAGCTGGCCTTGAGGAAGCCTTTCAGCCTCAGTGGCCCAAATATGTCAGATGAATGGGAGGGACAAGAAGGCTTGGAAAGTCCTCTGGCATTCACGTTCTAGAATCTGCTTACCTCATGGCTCCTGTCTTCCCAGACACTGTTTGAGACATAGGGAAGCAGTAGTACACACCCCTGGTACCATTCTTACTTCCACTAGTTTACAGGGAGAGAGACAACAAACACACAAATAGTCACACAAGCAAATACATTCTTTCAGATGGTTGTAGTGCAGTCAGGAGATAAAACCAGGTGCGGTGTTACCATGACTGGAGACAGCGGGTGGGGAGAAACATTAGGTCTGGTGGTCAGGGAAGGCTACTCTGAGGAGTGGCAGTTGAGTTGAGATCTGGATGAGAAGACCAAAACCCTTGGGATAGCTTTGGGGGAAAGGTGTTACAGACCAGGAGCGGGTCCAGTGCAAGGTCCCTGAAGGGCATGTGTTTGAGCAATGGGGAGAAAGCCAGAGGTGCTGGGGTAAGGTGACCGAGGGATGGACAGAAGCTGGTCACACACAGTCCTGTGGTTCCTGGTAAGGCCTTGGTCTTGACTCTAAGAGCAATGTCGTTTTAAGTTCTGATGAGTTTTAAGCAGAGAAGTGAACTGATTTGATTTTTCTCTCTGTGTCCTGGTGTAGGGGTGGGGGGCAAGGGTTGCTCCCTGACTCTCAGAGCTTGGGGTGAGGCAAAGGGGGGGTGCCCCAGCAGTGAAGACTTGGCTTCCTGTGTGGGTGGCCCCCTGTGAGCCAGCCGTGCAAGCTTGCATCCTTCCCAGGGGCCTCTCCTGCTCTCCGGGTCCACCCCTGGTCCAGGAGAACCAGTTCTTCAGCCCGGCGAGCACCTACCCAGAGTCATGTGTCCACATTTTGGTGGTAACTGGGTAGTGGCCCATTGACAACCTCATGCCTAATCCTGTCCACGTCCCCAGCCACACTCACATCCTGGCCATCCCATACACATTTTCATCCATATTTCCCTCAGGAACGAAAGTCCCACCCAGACTTCAGCAGAGTCACCCCTCCTGCTTTATTAGGAGAGAGGGACTGGCAGTGGGGAGACCTATTGCCAGTGGGATATGACTTGAGGAGGCAGCTGTCAGGGGACAGAGGCAGATCCTTTCATTTGTGGTGACACCCAAACTCTTCTACTCTATCAGCTCCCTTCCTGGTTTGTCCAAGGTCCCCTCCCACTCTACCTTCCGATTGCCTGTGTGTCCCTGTCTCCTCCCCACTCCCCACAGAGTGGTTTTTCCCACTAGATTAGAAGGTTAAGGCCGGGCCTCTCACCTCTCTGCCCCAGGACCCTGTGTCCCATAGAAGCCTCAAGAGGCAGTTTCCCAAGCCCCTGAGCCTCAATTTCCACTCCACCCCACCCTGCTCCACACCAAACCCTAGCCAGCCCCCTGGGGACACATCTCCAAGGGAGGGGAGTGGCTAGAAGGCAGGAGGCTGGGAGGAGTTATAAGGACTTTGCATCTTAAAATGCAAATTTATGTCATCAGGCTCCTAGCATTCCCGCAGGGTCATGGAGAGCTGAGCAGAGCCCAGGAAGGCGGGCCTGACCTGCCTGACAACTCCTGTCTTCAGTGGGGACAGCACTGTGCCAGGCAGACGAAACAGCTCTGCCAGTCACCCAGGGCGGGGGCACAACCTTCATCCCAGCCTTCTCCTCCATCCTGCCTCCATCCGCTTAACCCATTCCCCTCCACACCCTCGCTGCCCCTCGACCCACACCTACCCCAATCTACCTCCACTCCCTGAATCTTCTGATTCCAACCGCATTGTTGATGCAGTTCCTAGTCCTGACCTTGTCCTCATTACTAATCCATCCAACTATTAAGAATTATATTTCAAGAGTCCCCCAGGTACCAGATACTGTGCTGGGAGTTGGGGAGAAAACCAAACCAAACCAAATGATAGACAGTTTAATCTAGTGGGGAAGACAGACGTCAATCAAAAATGTTAACCACTGAGCTGCGAGAGCCATTGATGGTTCAATTTGGCCTTCCCTGATGAAGCAGTTGTCGAGCTAAGATCAGAAGGAAGAGGAAACAAAAATCAGCTCCACGAGGTAGAGGACGGCACGTGCAAGGGCATGTGCAGCTGTGGTTGCAACGGGCTGACTCACTTCCTTCGTGTTTTTATGGAAAAATCCCTTCCGAAAGAGCTCTTCCCTGGCCACGCTATATCTAACATTTGCTCTCTTATACTTTATAATGTCCTTCCCTACTTTGATTTTGCTCTTCAGCACTTATCACTATTTAACATAGTATTTAATTTACTTGGTTATTAAGTAGTATTATCTATTCTCAACACTAGAATGTAAGCTCCAGGAGAAAGGCAGGCATTTGCTTTGCTTATGTTGCATTCTTAGGATCTGACACAGTGCTGGGCACACAGTAGGAGCTCTGTGGGCTGATGGTGAATGAAACGCGCTTCATCCCATGTAGAAGGGAGGAAAGGGGGATGTTGTGGAGGGTGAGATGTGTGCGGTAGGCCCTGGGGCTCATGCGAAGGGGTGATGTCCTCATCTCGAAGGCAGGATGGAGCCACTGCCAGGCTTGACCTGGGGTTGGAAGGGATGGGGGTGACATGAGCAGATTGGAGTCTTAGAAAGGTCATTTCACTCCATAAGTCCAACCACATCCCCATCT